GTCTCACTCTTTGTAAAACATGGTATAAGGTTACTTTATTGCTTGGACCCAGAAATTGTGCTTTATTCTAAAAAGTGTGATTAGACCCCCAGGGGATTTGTCTCCAATGCAGAAGCTCTCAGTATATATGGTAAAATAACAGAACAATCACAATAATGATACCAATAAGGGATCAAATATGATGCGGGAATGATTCAAATTCAGCCCTAGACTTACAATCTTACTTTAAGTTGCTCTATTAATAGTTTAATGCAGAAAAGTTTGACATTCTGAGCTTTCCAAGAATAAGCAAGAACGGAGTTCATCCTTTCTATTCTTCACTCCTGCATTCATCCATGGACTTTTCTAAATTAAGAATCTATTTTACAGAGAATACAGAGGAAATCTCAAATTGGATTTAATTCCAGTTTTCTACATGGATATATCTATGTAGGACTTTTTTTATTGATTGTGCCACATAGATAAATTTTCTCCATGTGTTTTTACTATAATAGAACATTTACACACACACACACACCAGTTTTCTATCCAAGATAACCAACAATAAGAATAAAAGTGATATAGGCAACAATAGTTTACACTTTTTCTTCCAGCTTGCACTGAAACTTTCATTATACAGTGGTTTCCTCCTGTTACAAAGCACACATTTACTGTTCTCTAAAATGCTAGCTATGATATCTCTTCTACCAGTGGTAGGTTCTGAATTCCGTTGCAACTGGTATGGTTGGAGGGGGGGGCGAGTCCTCCACATGAACACACAAAGCGTGCACACATGTGCACAGCATGCACATGCGTTCTACCTTTCAGCGACGCCTCCACGAGCCTCTGCGACGCTCCAGCTGCTCGGTGAAGCGTCACACAGGTGCTGTACGCGCCGTGCGCATGCGTGGAAGGGCTGAAGAGTTTCAGGATAGGTAAGGACGACGGCCGGGTGGGTGGCCCTCCGGAGCACTGTACCAGAATGGTACCCTGTGCTCTGGGCAGGCACCGGTACGCCCATAACGGGACATACCGCCTGCAACCCACCACTATCTTCTACATAAACCACAATTGCTTTTGGCATGAACAGCAGGTGCCAGGTTATGTTTTCCTTACAGCCAGCCAATTGTGGGAGCCGAGAATTCTCATCAACCTACAGCTCTCAGCATTCTTTGGAAGGGAACTGATGATTGCAAAAGCAAAGCTACTCGATATCCTCTCCAGTAATTGTCAGCCAAAATCTTTGACTATTGTGGAATTCCATAATGGTTTACCTGGGAAAAGTGCAGAGCATCTCATCAGGATTTCCCACAGTACCAGTGCCATGGAATAGACATCCGCTTGCCTCAGTGCAGAGCCCACATCCTGCAGATTCAAATTCTCATCCAAAATTTCAGGAGCTACATAGCGTTGAGCTCCTACCTGGAGAAAATACCAATGAAAGAAGCAAGCAGTTTATGAATAATGCCTACTTGGAGCAAGAACTGGGTATTCCCAAATTTTATATACGGTAAGTAGTCCATTTCAAAACAGTACAATATGAGAAAGAGCCGCGGTCAGAATGCAGTACTGCAGGCTAATTCTGCCAACTATCAGCAGTTCGATCCTGACTGACTCAAGGTTGACTTAGACTTCCATCCTTCAAGGTCAGTAAAATGAGGACCCAGATTATTGGGGGCAATATGCTGACTCTGTAATCTGCTTAGAGAGGCACTATAAAGTGGTATGTAAGTCTAAAGTGCTATAGCTAAGTGCTAACTACCAGGATGCTGTCAGATCTCAAACACAATGCTGGAATCTGAAACACGATATTGGAATCGGACATATTGCAAAGGTGGGTTGCTCCCAGTTCGGACCGGTTCAGGAGAACTGGTAGTGGTAATTGGGCGTGGGTCGTTGAACTGGTAGTGATGGCTGGCTGGCCACGCCCTGAACCGGATCACTCTGACGCTCGCCCTGCCTCGTCTTCACCATGTGCACCCACACAACTGCTTCCTAGTGCTTACACACAGGTAAGTAGCATGGGCTGCTCAGGGAGCCCCGAGGCTTCGCAAGGGGGCGGCAGCAGCCAAGCGGGCATGCCAGGATCTGCTGGTTGCCTCTAATCTGCAGTTTTCTCGTGAGCAAGTTTACTCATGAGCAGGGTGACCCGCTGACCCGCTGCCCTCCGGAGCTAACAGGCAGCGAACAAAACCATGCACTCTTTGGACCCTCAAGCTCTCCTGCGTTCAGCTCAGTGCAGCTCGGGTTGCTGCTTTCTTTGGCCTTTTAAAAAAAAGTTTTACAGCATATTTTATTTCCCATCTCCAATCTGAAACATAAATTAGCCAAGCCACGCCAACAAAATAAGGCATGCCCACAGAACCAGCAGTAAAAACTTTGGAAACCCACCCCGACATACTGATCCTGCATTTCTACTGGAATAAATATTACCTCTCTGCTTACTATTGTCTGAACTTGGTTGTGATGATTGTTGTCGTTTTATGAGTTTTGCTATGAGACGTCTGGGGCTTGAAGTTCAATGTAAGTAAATGAATTTTAGAAGAACCATTGATCACATTTCAACAATATGCATCTCTTTGGGACTTTCTATGTCATGTATGGTACCTTGTGCACAATGGCTTCTGCAGGACCTTTTCGTGACTGCTCGTGTCGCAGAGGGAGGGTCATAGCAAAGCCAAAATCCGTTATGACGCAAGTCCTATCTTCCCGCACCAGCACATTCTGGCTACTGAGGTCACGATGGGCCACCCCGGGTTTATGCAGGCCTGATATCATGGGGAAAAAATAACAAGTTTCAACAAAGTTGTCATCTTAACCACGCATGAACCTACTAAACCAGTTAGCGTGGACAAAGGAAGACTGGATTCACACATCACACCATTGTTTGTTTAAACGTGGCTTATTGAATCATGAGAAGGAATTGCGTGGTAAGGAAAATTTGATTAAAGCCTAGTCTCAGTTTATAGTTGTTTATAGTTTATAGTTTTATTGATTTGTATGCCGCCCACTCCCGAAGGACTCCGGGCGGCTTACAATAAAACAAGG